GATAAAAGACTAAATCTAAGGCACGAAACAATTAAAATCCTCAAAGAAAGTGTGGGGAAAACACTGGAAGCTATTAGCCTGGGGAAGGACTTTATGAGGAAGACTTCCATGGCAATCACAACAACAACAACAAAAATAAACAAATGGGACTTAATGGAACTGAAGAGCTTCTGTACAGCTAAGGAGACAACCAAAGCAACTAGACAACCTACACATTGGGAAAGGATATTTGCCTATTTTGAATCAGACATAAGCTTGATAAATAGGATCTACAGAGAACTCAAATTAAAACATAAAAAGAGCCAATAATCCCTTCTATCACTGGGCAAGAGAGATGAATAGAACCTTCTCTAAAGAAGACAGAGGAATGGCTAACAAACACATGAAAAAATGCTCATCATCCCTAATTATTAGAGAAAGGCAAATCAAAACCACCCTGAGATATCACCCAACCCCAGTGAGAAGGGCCCACATCACAAAGTCTCAAAACTGCAGATGCTGGCACAGATGTGGAGAGAAGGGAACACTTTTACACTGCTGGTGGGACTGCAAAGTAATACAACCTTTTTGGAAGGCAGTATGGAGAATCTTCAAAGAACTCAAGCTAGACTTCCTATTTGATCCTGCAGTCCCATTACTGGGCATCTACCCAGAAGAAAAAAAAAATCCTTCTACCACAGGGACGCTTGCACTAGACTGTTTATTGCAGCTCAATTTACAATCACCAAAATGTGGAAGCAGCCTAAATGCTCACCAACCCAGGAGTGAATTAACAAGCTGTGGTATATGTACACCATGGAACGCTATTCAGCCATTAAAAAAGATGGAGACTTTACATCTTTTGTATTAACCTGCAAGGATGTGGAACACATTATTCTTAGTACAGCATCACAATAATGGAGAAACAAGAATCCTATGTACTCAATTCTGATATGAGGACAATTAATGTCCTAGTACAAGGTGGGAGGTAGGGGATGGGGAGAGCTGAGAAAGGGAAGGAGAGGGTGGGGGACAAGGACAGTGGTATAACTTTTGGGAGCAGAACACAATTATAAGAGTGTCCTTATCTAACAAAAGCAATCAGTGTAATCTGGTTCTATGTACCCTCAATGAATCCCCAATAATAATAATACTGCCCTGAAAGACTTGGAGTTAAGATTATATGTGTTAATCCACATCAATTACTAGCACATAAATACTTAATAACCATACAAGTTCTCCCAGAAAAAAAAAAAAAACACAGTGGGAAGTGGCAGAGCCGGGACTGAAGCTCTGGGTTCCACACTTCAAGTCCTGTTTGCTTGTGCCTCAACCAATGTGCAAAGCAACATTGTAAAAACACAGGCTGGGCAGGTGGCTCACACCTATGATCCTAGCACTCTGGGAAGCCGAAGTGGGGGAATTGCTTGAGCTCAGGAGTTGGAGACCAACCTGAGCAAGAGTAAAAACCAAAAACTCTCTAAAACCATCTCTGAAAACTAGCCAGGCATTGTGGTGGACACCTGTAGTCCCAGCTCTTGGGAGGCTGAGGCAGGAGGATCTCCTGAGCCCAAAAGTTTGAGGTTGCTGTGAGCTGTGATGACACCATGGCACTTCCACCCAGGGCAACAGAGTGAGACTTTGTCTCAAAAAAGATACAGGTCTGGGTAAACTTGCTGCAAATAATACAAACACCAGAAAAGCAACCCCACGAGAACACATGAATCATTTGTACTATTAATGAAACAACCTTCTTCCCAACATTCAGGGCCCACCTCTCAAGTCTCCTTGGCTGTGAAGCCGCTCCACCACCATCCCCTTCCCCCTAAGCAGAGGGCTTTATTACCCTGAAACTTGCATCTCCTGTCATAGGGCCATGATCATCTAGTTCTTTTTGCAATGAGCTCTCCAAGGGGGTAGTGTCAGAGACCTCAGGGGCATAAGATAAGGAACTGGCCCAAGATTCATTGCCATGGCAACAGCTACTTGACTTAGCCTCTGACTTAATGTCTCTGCAGGTGAGCGGACAGGAGGAAGCAAGGATGACTCAGTGTCTCCCTGCCTGGGCTGAGCGGGAGAGTGAGTGGCAGGTAAGGTAGAGGCAGGAGGCTGGCCTGGGATGCTGGACATTTCTGGGAAGGTCTTGTCTTCCCAGAAAGCTGAGAGTTCCTCAAGGGTAGCACTAGTTAGCAGCCCGTAAATGGTGGATCCATAGTGTCCAGTCAGTGCGGAGTTATACCAGCCCAGGCCGTAGTGTTTCAAACTGCCCATCCCCACTCAGGAGTGGGTCATGAAAAAGCTTTTGGTGCTACAGCCCGCATTTTTGTTATGAATAAGACAGAAGAGAAGAGAAATGAAAAGAAAAAAGAGAATAGTGTGTCATACAGAGGAAGGGTCAGTGTTATTTTCCACAAATTATTTCTTTATGGAAACTATGAAGAGAGAGAGAGAGAGTGTGTGTGTGTGTATTGGGCTGTGACATAAATATCCTTATTCTGACAGTCATACATGCTTGGCAAAGAAAAAAATTATTGGAGAACAATTTTAGAAAAACATTTTCTTTACCGATTTTCTGATGATGGGAACATTAAAATCTAATGGTCATTTGGATCATTCATCCATTATTTATTATCTACACACAAAAATAGAAAACATCTTCTAGAGTTGCCTTCTCTATCATCTCAGCTGACGTTAGGTGTGAAGGCGAAACATTTAGGGGCAAGTGAGTGGCTCTGTGTGGCGGGAGCTGCTACTCAGGCAGCAGGGGCCAGAAGGGGAGAGTGTGACAGGCCCACCTCACAGAGACGTCCCTCTTCAGGGGAGGCCCCTCTGTCTGCTGAGATTGTGTGGCTCAGGCGGGTGAGGGTTGGAACTACTGGACTTGGCATTCTGGCTCCCCTTACCTTGCCGATCAGTTTAAAGCAGCAGTCCCCAACCCTTTTGGCACCAGGGACTGGTTTCATGGAAGAAGGTTTTTTTTTTTGAGACAGGAGCCTCAAGCTGTCCCCCTGGGTAGAGTGCCATGGCATCTCAGCTCACAGCAACGTCCAACTCCTGGGCTCAAGCGAGTCTCCTGCCTCCACCTCCCAAGTAGCTGGGACCACAGGCATCCACCACAACGCCTGGCTATTTTTTGGTTGCAGCCATCATTGTTGTTTGGCGGGCCTGGGCTGGATTCGAACCCACCACCTTGGGTGTACGTGGCTGGCGCCTTAGTCACTTGAGCCACAGGCGCCGAGCCATGGAAGAAGGTTTTTCCACAGACTGGAGGCCTGGGGCTATGGTTGCAATATGAGTCTGCAAGTAATTAATGTATTATGGCCTCCATGCAATCAAACCTCTGCTATTGATGATCTGTGTTTACAGCCGCTCCCCAGTGCTACATCACCGCCTTGCTCCACCTCAGATCATCAGGCATTGGACTCTCATGAGGATGCAACCTAGACAGTAGGGTTCACACCCCTATGAGAATCTAATGCCACAGATGATGTGACAGGAGGCTGGGCTAGGCGGTGACGCTAGCAATGGGGAGTGGCTGTCAATACAGATAAAGCTTCTCTTATACCGCTCACCTCCGGCTGTGTGACCCAGTTCCTAACAGGCCACATACTCAATCCATGGACCTGAGATGGAGGATTGCAGGTTTAAGTCATTTAGCACCGTCTATTGTTCCCACATTATTTTCTCAGTGCCAGTCTGATCTTGTCCATGAACTTATAAATGACTGTGATATGTTTTCTGCTTCTTTTGCGTCTCCAGAACGCGCAGCAGGGTTGGAAACACAGTAGGCACTCCCCAAGTACTTCCTAGTTATGGACAACTCCTTATTTTTCAGACCCCTGAAACATCCCTTCATTCTTAATCTTTTCCTATCACAGAGCGTTTAGTAAATGATTTTGTGGCTGTGTAACAGTCTGTTATCTTCACTTAGACTGGGAGCTCTCTGAGCACAGGGAGCATGTGTATTCTATCCATCACTGCATCTCTTGTTCGTTGTATCCTCAGTGATTGGTGCTTGGCAGGTGTATCTGTTAGCTTTCACCACAATAGTGGTGTGTAACAGACACCTCCACTATCTCCGTGATATATTGAACAGGCTTTTGTTTTTATGATTCAGCCGGGGCAGCTCTAAGCCATGGGTCAGTTCTGGATCTTCTCAGCCTCCTTAGACAGGCAGGCTAACCAGGGTGTGTTTTTCTCATGAAAAAGGCAGAGGCACAAGAAAGCATTTTCAGTTTTACAAGCACTTTTCAGGCCATCTATTCCAATGCGTCTGTTAATGTACTTTTGAGCAAAGTAAGTCAGAAAGCCAAGCCTAAAGTCAAGCAGGTCTGCCTCTGTGGGCTGGGGTGGGGAAGGGAAGAGTGACTGTTTCCACATAAGCTAAGTAAGTGTGCAGATTCGTGCTGAATGTTCATGGAAGGGAAGGGAAAAGATAATTGGATTCTAGGGATTTCCCATGGGTATTCACCATACAAGTTACACCGTACAAGAAGTCCATGGGGACGCTTCTGCCTCCTGACATACAGCTCTACAGAGAAAGCCAGAGCTTGTCTAACAGATAAGAGCCCAGCCACCCAGAGTTAAGTCTGTTGTGCAAATAAAGCAAGTCCTCAGAAGCAACCACCAGCAAAGACTATTCCTCTAGGGACTTAGGGACCGCAGCTACCTCTGGGAGGGAGAACAAGGGCAGTGACTGCCAGGTCCACAAGAAGCATCTCTGAGTATATAGAAACCCAGGCAGGCCTGAGCAGAGGGCTGCTCTGTGTCCTTTGGAAATGTGCACCTCCAGACAAATGTCCGCATGCTTGTTGAAATTGAAAGTCAGGACTTTGAAGGGACCTTTTCAGATAGCTGGACATTTGTTTCTAACAGGAGCCCAGAGTGTTGGTCCCTCTGTGGCTTTGCAGCGCCAACTCTGGAACATTTTGAGGTTGTGTAAGGTTTTGCGCCCCTCCTTTGCTTGAAGAAAAAGTAACAATCTGTTTTCCTTTCTTTCTCTCTCTCCCTTCTGACTGCAGGGGTGCTGTGCCTGCCAGACAGCCTGAACCTCCACAGAGACCCGCAGCGGTCAAGCAAGCCGGGAGAGCTGCCCATGTTCAGCCAGTCGGAGTTGAGGACCATCGAGCAGTCCTTGCTGGCCACCCGCGTGGGCAGCATCGCGGAACTGAGTAAGTGGACATTGGTTCGTCAGCCCTCATGCCTCAAGACATCTCCATCCTCCCTGTGCCTAAAGTGACAGGCCATCCATCATGCCACAAGGCTGCAAAGGACCCCAGTACTTTGTAACCAGCCAGGTGACACCTTTTATTGAGCACCTGCTGTGTACAACTAGACAGTGCTGTTAGCCGTGAGGAAGGTGGGAGCTGGGGAACCAGGCTGGCCTGGTAAATTTCCTGGCTCTGCCGCTAACGTAGGTCAAGTTCCTAATCTTTTCTGACCCTCAGTTTCCTTTTCTATAAAATAGAGAAAACAACAGTACCTAACCCAGACAGTAACTGTGGTGATGGAGGGAACCGGCAGCTGATTCAAGCCATGGTGAGCCCCAGGGTCACTAGAGAGCTACTTTGGTGGCACCTGAATTTGGAAATTGCACCTCATTTCCTTTAAACCCAGGAAGTCACAAGATGCCTTCAGTCACAGGGTCTCCCAGCTACCAGTTTGTCATCTAATTTTTCTTAAACTTTTGGGTTCTGTGACTCCTTTGGCCATGGTCCCTGTGTCAGAGTAATTTTTTTTTGAGACAGAGTCTGTCACCTAGTCATCACAGCTAACAACAACCTCAAACTCTTGAACTCAAGCCATCGTCCTGCCTCAGCCTCCTGAGTAGCTGGGGACCTCAGGCGCCCTACTGTGCCTGGCTAATTTGTCTCATTTGTGTAGAGATGGGGTCTTGCCCTTGCTCAGGCTGGTCTCGAACTCCTGGCCTCAAGCGATCCTCCCACCCCAGCCTCCCAGAGTGCTGGGATTACAGGCTTCTGGCCTAGAATAGTATTTCTAAATGTATCACATGCAAAAGATGACAAAGGAAACCAATTATATTAAAAGTCAGTTATCAAAATATTTGTAATCTGGATCGTTCTATAATTAATCCTATGCCTTGTTATTGGTACATGATATGACAAAATCATGGAGCAGGTCAATGTTCTGCCACCATGATTTTGAGGTAGTGATGTGTGTGAATATTTTGAGATAGCTCAACAAATGGAATGTGATAAGGAAACAACTGCATTTTAATACGCTCCCAAGGCACTCGGATGCAGAGTGTCCAAGCAGCAGCCTTGGGGAGATGTCGCTCTAAGTGGAAATGCCACACATTTGGGACTCCGCTATATTCCAGGATATACTCATGACCCTGGAAATGTAGAATCTGGCTACAGAGTTAGGACATAACTTCATGGGCATAATCCAGGAAGGGGCCCCCACACCAGAAGACCCCTCAAAGTTTTGTTCTGGAATATCTCAGAGGACCCTGCTGGCTCCTACCTCCTGGACTAAGGCCCCCCAGACAGTCTCTTTCATCAAAGGATTTAGTCAATAGATCTGCACTTCACCTTCAGAAGCAGTTCGCTACATAAGTTGTTTTTTAAGGACAATTTGCTCTGTAAATTAAGTGCTGTCCTCCTTGAATGTTGACTTTTGCATATGAATTGTTGGCTCACGAATGGGTGTTGCTAATTGCAGGTGGGTTTTGTATGTTTATTAAGTCAGGCCCTAGCAGAGAAGCACTTTGATAAGTCATGTCAGCCGCTGCAGGTAATAAAATTGCTTCTTTTCTGATCTGACTGTAATTTAAACTGGCTTGCTCTGTGCTAAATCAATAGTCTTACTTTGTGTACACAGAGAGCTGTTCTTCATATTCAAAGGTTGCTCTGCCTCTGTGGATGGTGGGGACCACTTCTTGCAGCAAAGGTGTAGAGTTTGTTCTCAGCCATCCATGGTCTCCTTGAATCAGGGATATGGCTGGCCAGGGCCAAGAGCAGAACCCTTCTTAATAGCGGATAATAATAATAGAAGCAGCAGATGTGTAATGAACTAGAAAACTATGACAAATCCTTACAAGAATAACTTGTAATGTGGTATAATTATCCCTATTTTATGATGAGGGACTGGAAGAGGAGTTCAGCTTGTCCCGGATCAGCCACACCTGTGAGTCGAAAAGCTCAAGATTGGATCCAAGCTTCTCCATGCAAAACTTTCACATCTCACCACTAAACTACACTCCCTCTGGGGAAGCCCGGCAGATGTTTCCATGCAGACCTGAGAGCCCCCCTTCTGTAAGATCAGGGTCTGGGGTGGAGGTGTGAGCACTCACAAAGGTGACAAAGTCCCTCCACAAGTCCAGCCATGCACCCCATGATGTGGTTAATGATGATGGTGGTCCCCTAAGATTATAATGCTGTGTTTTTACTGTGCCATTTGTTAACTAAGATAATAATAATAATGAGGCTTATACTTTGGAACAGGGGTCCTCAAACTTTTTAAACAGGAGGCCACTTCACTGTCCCTCAGACTGTTGGAGAGCTGGACTGCAGGCCCCAGGATGAATCAGCTGCTAAACAGGACAGTCAACAGCAGCAAAAACACCTGGCAGGCCAGATAAATGTCCTTGGCAGGCCGCATGTGGCCT